ATAGAGTGACTTTTGAAACTGAAGAGTCATTACTTTGGATAAGATACTTAAAGGCAGAGTTGAGAAAGTAAATATACTACTTTTGTATATAATGTTTGTAATATATATTGACTAAACCTTCAAAGTGAGAGGGGATCTTAATGATCTCAGAATCGAGTCTTTTATTATACAGATTGATTTAGAGAGAAAGTGCAACTTGTTGAAGATATTTAACAAATATGTAATTTGTCTTTCTCTTGGTAAAGTGAAACTTGGAAACTATCAAATTCATTATACCTCATTGGAATTCCCCTAAAATGTTAATGACTCATTTAAACTAGGGACTGGAATGGTGTACTAATCACACCTACTTTCTTCCCTAATGGAGAATTTAAAAAAAAAAAAGAGGACAGAGATCTTTAGAAGGAGAAAATAGGTGGCCTATAAACACAGTGATAACAATAGAGAAGGTGCCACAAAAAGACCTGTAACATCTAAATAAAGAAGTTAGGAATTACATATGAATCTTCAAAAACTTTCTTCCTGATTTTTCTAAGATACTCATGATAGAAAATTTGAATATACAGAAAAGTCTGGAGTAGAGAATTATAATGATAAACTCTTACCCCCAGTATAACTAATGTTGATTATTTTCTTCATACAAATACATTTCTCTTTTTCTCTTTTTTAAAATTGAGATTATATTATTTTTATATTTTTTAAATAGTTGAGAAAATAAGAAAAGTGAAAAAAAACAAAGAGTAAAAACATCTATGTATTTCCTACTAAATAAATATTTTTGGTCATATAAGCTTCAGACCTTTAAGTTTATAAGGAAATAAAACATTACAGATAAAGTCTAAGTTGGTGTTCCATCCATAGTCCCATTTCTCTCATTTCTTCCTTGGACAAAACTAATATGAATTTGGTATATTTTAATACCTCTGTTACATTAATGTTTTTTTTAAATAGTATTATTTTGTATTTTAATGTGCATAAATAGAATCAGTACATAATTGGAATAATTGAATATAAATTTCTGGAAATTGCTTTTTGCACTGAACTTTTGTTTTTCAGTTCTATTCATGCTGTCATATATAGATCTAGTTGATTTGTAAGTCATAAGTGTTAAGCTTGATGAATTTTCACTGAACACACCTATGAACCAGCATCTAGTTTAAGAAGCAGAATATTACTAGCATCTCTGAACTCCCCCTCATGTCTGTGTTTGAACTTTATGTCTGCCTTCTTCTGTCCAACATTATTTATGAAATTTATCCATGTTGTTGTGGGTAGTTGTAGTTATTCTTTCCCATTGTTATAGAATATTTTGTTTTCATAAATTCAACTTTTTTATTTATCCATTCAACTATTGATGGGCATTTGGGCAGTTTCCAATTTGTGGCTCTCTCAAATAGCGATGCTATAAACATTCTCATATATATATTTTTTAACATATGTATGCATTTCACTTATGTATACGTCTAAGAATTGTTGGGTCATAGAATATGCATACGTTCAGCTTTACTAACAGTGTCAAACAGTTTTCCAAAGTATTGTACAAAATTGCATTCCCACCAGTGAATGAGAATTCAGATTACTCTGCCTCCTTGGCAACACTTGATATTTTCTTTTTCATTTTAGGCATTATATAAAGTTGTTGTATTATCTCATTGTGATTTAATTTGCACTTCCCTGATTATTAATGAAACTTTCGTATATTTATTGGCCATTTAGATATTCTCTTTTATGATACCCTTATATATTTAGTATTCATATTTAACAGTTTTTTTCCTAACAAATCTAAAGATATCGGTGTCTCTATTCTTCACCTAATCTAGATAAGGAAGGACTTTAGCAATTTTTAAATTACTACTGTTCTATCACTTACCAGTTGTATGCCTTTAAGCAAGTTACTTAAACTCATTTTGCCTCATCTGTTTCTTCATATGTAAAGTGGGGAAACAATAGCACTTAGCTCATAGAGTTGTTTGTATTAAATAAGTTAGTATACATAAAGCGCTTCAAATCGTGTCTGGAATATAGTATCTATAAACGTTAGATATTATTGTTGTTGCTATTAGTGAAAGGATATATAGCATATCAAGGGGATAGAATGGAGTTCAGAAATAGGCTGACACAAATATAGATAATTGATTTTTGACAAGGCTGCAAAGGCAACTCAATTAAGAAAAGAAAGTCTTTTCAGCAAATGATGTTAGAACCATTGGGTATACATATGAAAAAAAAAAGAAGAACTTGACCCGCGCCTCACACCTTATGCAAAAACTAATTCAAAATGAATCATAAATTAGGAGTAAATATAAAACTATAAATCTTTTATAGGAAACATAGGAGAAAATCTTCATGATCTGGGTTCGGCAGAGAGTTCTCAGATAGGATTCTTAGCACAATCCATAAAAGAAAAAAGTTGATAAGTTGGACATCACCAAAATTAAAGTTTTTCTCTGTGAAAGACGTTGTTAAGCGAATTGAAAAGACAAGGCACAGACTGGGAGAAAATCTTTCAAAATCACATATCTGATCAAGGGCTTGTATCCAGATGTATAAATAATTCTAAAAAATTAGCAAAGATTTGGACAAATCACTGAGGAAGATAAATGGATGGCAAATAAGCACTTTGCAAGATGTTCAACATCATTATTCACTAAGGAAATGCAAATTAAAATCATAGTGAACTACCACTGCATATCTATTGGAATGGCTGATATAAAACTGACAATACCAAGTGGTGGCAGAGATATTGAGCAGCTGGAGCTATTATATATTGCTTGTGGGAAAGCAAGAAAATTCAGCCACTTAGGAAAGCAGTTTGGCAGTTTCTTATAAATTAAAATATATACTTGCTACCTGACCTTACAGAAATAAAAACTTATGTTTAACAAACACCTGTATGCAAGCATATAGTAGCTTTGTTCCTAACAACCCCCAACTGGAAACAACCAAATGTCTCTCAGCTGGGGAATAAACTGGTGGTGCATCTATAAAATGGAATATTTCTCAGGCTACTTCTCTATGCTCTTTTTTTGAAGCTCTATTAGTTTTATGTCATATACTCTTAATCTTTTCCAAATATCATAATTTACCATATTTTTTATTTCTTTATGTAGCTGGGTGAATTCAGTATTATCTTTTATTTCATTAATGATGTTCAAGAGTTTACTCCATCTTAAAATTTTTGAATTTTATTTCCAATATTCCTCCTTTGTCTATTTTTGAATTGGTCTTTTATTGGTGGCTCAGGACTCCCTTCTCTCAGAGATTTTGGTAATACAGAGTCATTCATTGTATTAGAGGATGGTTTGGTCTAGGTCTTATCTCAACGATTTTCTTCCTCTGCCCCCACCCCCCAACCCCCAGCTAATTCCTGCTCCAGATCTCAATACCTAGCATGCCTCTGTTTTCTGGTTTTGTTTTGTTTTGTTGCTTTCTCTGTGTTGCTTTGCTTCCTATGTCCATAGAGGTCCTCATCTTATATTTGAGTACAACTATGTCTTTTGAATTTTTTGAAATATGAGTTTTATCTATCTTGCTTTTATCATTTAATACTATCTGACATTTCCTTATAGAACATGCCAGTGATTCTCAACTAGGGACAATTTTGCCCACCTCCCAGAATACATTTGCTAATGCCTGGGGACATCTTTGTTACAATACACAAGAGAGTCCTAACAACAAATTACCTAGTTCAAAAGATTGATAATATTGAGGTTGAGAAACCCTGCTCTAAATAATTAAAGAATATTATATTTTTCATTTGTAATAATTTATTTAATTGACTCCCTAATGTGGGGCACTTTTTTTTATATTATGAGTATCACTTTGATAGCCTTATATGCCTTTTTTGATAACATTAATTAATTCCCAAATTAGACATTTCTGAACCTGAAGAAAACTAAGATCTTGGAAGCTGGAAATTACTTTGGCTAAAGTAAAAGTGCTGGAACAAAGTCTTTATCATGTCCTTTCCTTAGTGGAACTTATAATATGTTTACACATAAAAATGTTCTATTAATTTTATGCTTTTAAACCCT